AAAGGGTTATTTCAAGCCCAGCCGAAGCCAGGATATTGTGGTATGCTGCATCTATCTCCCAATTTGATGATCGTACACTCACTCCCAAGATCCAACAGTCATCGTGTCAGCAGCTAGATGACTCACACAAAANTCCAGGAATCCAGTATCCGCAGCCGCCGCAGTAGTACTACTGTACTGTGTAGTAGTAGCAGGAAATCCAGGTTGTACGCCGGTTGTCCAAACAAAAGATTGGTGATTCCGTGAGAGAAGGAGATACCACCGCCGTCGAAGAGTCGAGGGCACTGTCTGCCAGATGTAGGCTGTGAGATAGATTGTGCCACCTACGTGTTCTTAGCCTGCCCGCCCGTGTGTGTGTGTGTGTTCCTCCCTGCGAATCGGGTCCATTTCTCTCTTGATTGACCGGTGGTGGACGAGAAATATTTTCGAAGCTCTTCTTACCTAGATTACTGGTGTGTGCAGTGCTGTAGGACCCCACTTACAGCAATAAATAATACATGTGAAGAAATCTACGAAGAGCCACCACACAGCAGCCTTCCACACAACAGGACTAAAACAACGATACAACTAAAACGCACGCACACGTATGTATTTATTTGTTTATTATACGCATGCATCGTCGATGGTATGCAGAGCAGATAGATTCAGAGCTATGGATTCTCACCATTCATCAAGCGTGCCAGCACAGACGTTCTCCACGACGGCCAACGGGCATCATCGATCAATCAATGAAGGAAGCTCATCAACCGTCAAACAAAGACTGAAAGTTTCCGAGCTCCTCGCTATACAGCAGCTGTTGTTTGTTTTTTGCTTCCTTTGCCCAGCCAACATCTGTTAATTTCCTCTCTCCAAGCAGTCGACCGTTGAACTCCTCCGAAAGGTTGTGCGCGGCGGCACGGCGTAAAAAAGTGGATCCGATGATTGACCTTGCGCTTGTACCGACGCTCCCTGAGGGAAGATGTCCCCATCATCATTAGTTGCGGGAAGAACAACTGCAGCAGTAGTGTAGTTAGTTGTTGCACATTCATACATACTAGTACATGATATTTTGGGAGTTGGTCGAAGGCCTGTTGTGCACCTCTCTCGTGTACACCACGTTTGTTTGAGGCGCCTTGGTCCACTAAGAATGGCGTTGTTGGTCCGTCTGTTCATTACAGTAGTCTACACGGCAAAGTTGATTAAAATAAGCAAACGTTTGGGATAGAGTTTTCAATCCGTGCTTCAGGGTTAGGGGTAGGGGTAGGGATAGGGATAGATAGGGTCTACGCGCCCCCTGCCTATTCTTTCTCTAGATACTCTCAAAATCCTACGTAGGCGGTCCGTTCATTACGTACGATCATTTGTGACAAAAACTATGTAGCGTTCGCTCGTCAGCAGACGACGGAGGGATGATTGTCTACAATCCAACAACAACAGTAGGTTTCCCAGCAGACCGACGGATAGATAGAGAGAGGCCGGTCCCGACCTACACAAGCATCAAGATTACTTTAGTGTAGTTGCAGAAAGACAAAGAAGGGAGAAGAACACGCCAGCGAGCGAGTGGACGATAACTCCTGAACAAGGATTCCACAGGGAAATGAACACCTAGTAGTCTACAGCAGTAAGTAGTACGCGCGGCACCCGGCTCGGAGGTCTTCATTGGGCCTAGTCTACACTCAATGGCTTACCATGCTCTTCGACAATCTGAGTCTGGGATATTTTGTGTGATCATGTTCAATGGGCCGGCCGGTAGGCTATTGTAGCCACAACCCCCCGGCATTCATTCGTCGTGGGACAAAATCTCAGACAGGCAACCACAAGGAAAGTTCAAAATGAAGTACGGGTGGATCCATGCCGCACCTGAGGCCTCGTTTTATTCTTAGAAAGTATACATAGCCTCTGTGAGAACCACCCGTTCGAGATAATTCCAGAGTCGAAGGGGATGTGTTGGAGGTCTACTATCCCGCAAAAAAAGAACACAGTCAGTGTCGAAATTATGTAACCGCGAAGGGATTCCACCGCGGATGAGAACAGATTACCTGCAGAGAGGCTTCGAGAGAGCACCTACTGGTGACAAGCCTTCCCAACCCTAACGGAGGGGAAGATACGGTAGCAACAACAACAGCCGTCCCGCCGTCCACCTGTGTGTGCGTGCATTTTTTTTTTATTGCCGAGGTCGTTAGTAGTAGCCATCCCTCCAGTCAGCACAACAACGTCGGAGACGAAGGGCAGCACGGCAGCGGTAGTATCGCCATCTTCAAGAATCGCAGACATACCCAAAGACACGCCTAAGACGACGAAACACACCGATCATCATTGAGATACAATAATAATAAATAGCACTATCCATGCGTAGAGAATCAATCGCAGCTGGTGATTGATGATGGTGATGCTCTGACCGAGAGTCAACGAGCGCCTCCTTCCCCTTATTCGACGCCAACCCCCCCCCGTAACCCTCGCCCCTTCTATCCAGCCTTCACCCACCCATCCTCTCGACATGTCGATGCCCCCCAACCACTGCAAATCTACGCGTTTGTTCAATCGAAATCAACTTCGAACGTATCGTAGATATTGTATCGTTTTAGCATCAAATATCGACGTGAATTCATGTAGACAACATATTAATAATTATGCATACACCGTGTCTCCCGCAAAAATCTAGAGGCGGCCATTTTTTCAGGTTGAGAAAAAAACAAAAAAAAAATGGCAGCATCCTCCTCCTCTACTGCTGTGTTTTATGTGTCGAACAGCATCCGCTGGCTATTGTTGCCTGTGCGCAGCACGCGCTGCACCTAGACGCGGACCGACGTCTCTCTCCCGACAGCGCCACCGCGCGTGCCGCAACATCAAAGGCATCGTACTTGCTCTCGTGAGAGTGGCGACATCTACAGGCGTGCCAGACGGGAACGACACTGAAAGAATCGTTGATTTGACTGCATCCAACAAAGAGTCCGACCTGACCAAACCAAGGGGTTGGAGATCTTCTGTGTTCTAAAAATAGAGACCAAATTAGACATGCTGTAGTATTGCGCCCCCCCCCCCCCCCCCCCCCCCCCCCCCCCCCCCCCCCCCCC